CAGAGACAAGGCACTTGAGAATGAAACCATTGGTCAGATTCTGCGCAGTGATGCTGCTAGTCGTGCCATTCTCTCCGAAGAAGCAGACTCTGTGGATGATGCTAACCTGAAGGATCTCATGCCGTACGGTCTCGGGATTCACCATGCCGGTCTGAGTCTTGCCGATCGTGATTCAGTCCAAGCACTTTTCGCCGATGGAAGCATCCAGGTCCTCGTTTGTACAGCGACACTGGCCTGGGGTGTCAACCTTCCCGCCCACACCGTCATCATCAAGGGAACCCAGGTCTACTCTCCCGAGAAGGGTGCGTGGGTCGAGTTGAGCCCGCAAGACGTTCTGCAAATGTTGGGACGAGCTGGGCGACCCCAATACGATACCTTCGGCGAGGGTATCATTATCACATCGCAAGCTGAGATTCAATACTACCTCTCGCTCTTGAACCAACAGCTTCCAATTGAGTCACAGCTGGTGAGCAAATTGGCGGACAATCTGAATGCTGAGATTGTACTTGGCAATGTTCGTACCCGCGACGAAGGTGTGGATTGGCTAGGCTACACTTACCTTTACGTTCGGATGCTCCGATCGCCTGGCCTGTACAGTGTTGGCGCCGATTATCAGAACGATGATGCCCTGGAGCAAAAGCGAGTGGATCTTATTCACTCTGCTGCTGCGGTCCTTGAGAAGGCCGGTCTCGTCAAGTATGAAAAGAAGACTGGACGTCTGCAGTCGACTGAGCTTGGACGTATCTCTTCGCACTACTACATTGGTCACAACTCAATGCTCACCTACTCCCAACACCTCCAACCCTCCATCACGACCATTGAATTGTTCCGAATCTTTGCACTTAGTGATGAGTTCAAGTACATCCCAGTTCGCCAGGATGAGAAGCTTGAGCTTGGAAAACTGCTAGGACGCGTACCCGTCCCTGTTAAGGAGACCATTGATGAGCCCCATGCCAAGATCAATGTTCTTTTGCAGGCTTACATCTCCAGACTCAAGCTCGAGGGGCTTGCGCTGATGGCAGACATGGTCTATGTCACTCAATCTGCTGGACGTATCATCCGCGCGATTTTCGAGATTTGCCTGAAGAAGGGCTGGGCCTCAGTTGCCAAGACAGCTCTCGATCTCTGCAAAATGGCCGAGAAGCGCATGTGGCCAACCATGTCCCCCCTTCGTCAATTCCCCCACTGCCCAAGAGATGTTTTGCAGAAGGCGGAACGCATTGATGTGCCTTGGGGCAGCTATTTCGATTTGGATCCTCCCCGCATGGGTGAGCTTCTGAGCATGCCCAAGGCTGGACGTGTTGTGTGCGACTTGGTGTCCAAGTTCCCTCGACTCGATGTTCAAGCTCAAGTGCAGCCCATCACGCGATCCATGCTGCGTGTAGAGTTGACCATTTCCCCCAACTTTGTCTGGGACGACGAAATACATGGCAATGCTCAAGATTTCTGGATTTTGGTTGAGGACTGCGACGGAGAGGAGATTTTGTTCCACGATCGATTCTTGCTTCGTGCTGAATTTGCAAAGTCCGAGATGAATGAGCACCTTGTCGAATTCACTGTTCCTGTCACTGAGCCGATGCCTCCCAACTACTTCATCTCGCTTGTGTCTGACCGATGGATGCATTCTGAGACGAAGATTGCCGTATCCTTCCAGAAGCTGGTCCTCCCCGAGCGCTTCCCTCCCCATACACCTCTGCTCGATATGCAACACGCACCCGTCAAGGCACTGAAGCGTGAGGACTACCAAGCGTTGTACCCCAACTGGCAGCACTTCAACAAGATCCAGTCTCAGGTCTTCAAGTCAGTATTCGACACCGATGACAACATCTTCATTGGTGCTCCCACAGGAAGTGGAAAGACTGTTTGCGCTGAGTTGGCCTTGCTTCGTCACTGGTCAAAACAGGATAGCGGCCGTGCAGTTTACATTGCGCCCTTCCAGGAGCTTGTCGACCACCGGCTAGCTGACTGGCAGAAGCGCCTTGGTGGGCTGGATGGAGGCAAAACCATTGTCAAGCTTACGGGCGAAACCACAGCCGATTTGAAGCTTCTGGAACAGGCTGATCTCGTGCTTGCCACTCCTAGTCAGTGGGACGTGTTGTCTCGCCAGTGGCAGCGACGTAAGAACATTCAGACAGTGCAATTGTTCATCCCCGACGAGCTTCACTTGCTCGGCGGCTACGCTGGATACGTGTACGAAGTGATCGTGTCTCGCATGCACTACATCGCTCTCCAGACTGAAAACGAAATGCGCATTGTTGGTCTTAGTGTGCCTCTTTCCAATGCTCGGGACATCGGAGAGTGGATCGGTGCCAACAAGCACACGATTTACAACTTCAGCCCGCATGCCCGTCCTGTGCCTCTGGAGCTTCACCTTCAATCTTTCACCATCCCTCACTTCCCATCCGCCATGCTTGCGATGGCCCGCCCGGCCTATCAATCGATTTTGCAGCTCTCCCCCGACAAGCCCGCTTTGGTTTTCGTTCCAAGCCGCAAGCAGGTCCGTGCGACCGCTGCAGATCTCCTCTCGGCGTGTGCCATCGATAACGATGAAGATCGTTTCCTGAACGCCGATGTCAGTGAGCTTACTCCTTTGCTTGAGCGTGTCCACGAGCAGACCCTTGCCACATCGCTTTCTCACGGTATTGGCTACTACCACGAAGCCCTCAATGCCACTGACAAGCGCATTGTCTTGCACCTGTTCAGCATTGGTGCGATTCAAGTGCTGTTGGCTTCGAGAGATGTGTGCTGGGAACTGGATATCACGGCTCACTTGGTCATCGTTATGAACACTCAATTCTTCGATGGCCGTGAGCATCGCTACATCGACTACCCCATCAGCGATATCTTGCAGATGTTTGGCAAAGCCTCCCGTCCCGGTCAGGACAAGCTTGGCCGTGGTGTTCTTATGGTGCCAGCAGTGAAGCGTGACTACTACAAGAAGTTCTTGAACGAGGCCTTGCCTGTCGAGAGTCACCTGCAGGTCTACCTCCACGATGCCTTTGTCACTGAAGCTAGCACAAGAACCATCTCATCCACCCAGGATGCGGTTGATTGGATGACATATACCTATTTCTATCGCCGTCTCCTTGCAAACCCCAGTTTCTACGGTCTTAGCGACGTGAGCCACGAGGGGCTCAGCACGTTCCTATCAGAGCTGGTGGAGAACACATTGAAGGAGTTGTCAGAGGCAAAGATCATTGACGTTGATGAGGAAGATGACAGCGTTTCGCCTTTGAACGCTGCCATGATCGGTGCTTACTACAATATCTCATTCATCACAATGCAAACCTTCTTGCTGTCTCTCTCGTCCCGGACGAAGCTCAAGGGCATCCTGGAGATTGTGACCTCGGCGACTGAGTTCGAGTCTATCCAGATGCGTCGCCATGAGAATCACATTCTCCGCCGCGTGTATGATCGTGTACCGGTCAAGATGTCAGAGGTTTCCTTCGACTCTCCTCATTTCAAGGCCTTCGTCCTCCTCCAGGCCCACTTCTCCCGCATGCAGCTCCCTCTTGATCTTGCCAAAGACCAAGAAGACATCGTTCGCAAGGTCCTCAACCTGCTCAGCGCTTGTGTGGATGTCCTCTCATCCGAGGGTCATCTCAACGCGATGAATGCAATGGAATTGTCCCAGATGGTGGTTCAGGCCATGTGGGATCGTGACAGCCCTCTGAAGCAGATTCCCCACTTCTCTCCTGATGTGATCAAGGTGGCCAATGAATACAAGTATGTATCATCAGAAAAATATCTAGGCACATTTGCTAATCTCCCTTTGTACAGGATCAACGATATCTTCGAATTCATGGAGGCCATGGACCCATCGGAGAACAAGGACTACGCTACTTTGGTGAAGCGCCTCGGCCTCGACAACAAGCAATTGGCGCAAGCTGCGGCTTTCACCAACGAGAAGTACCCCAACATCGAGCTTGACTTCGAAGTTGAAGATGCCGAGGGCATCACTTCGGGCGAACCCGCATACCTCAAGGTCAAAATTGAGCGGGACATCGAAGAAGACGAGGAGCCTGATGCTACTGTCCACGCTCCATTCTACCCCAGCCAGAAGATGGAGAACTGGTGGTTGGTTGTTGGTGACGAGAAGACCAAGAGCCTGTTGGCTATCAAGCGTGTCACCATCGGTCGCAAGCTCGAGCTGCGCCTAGAATATGTGGTCCCTACACCCGGAGATCACGAGTTGACTCTCTACCTCATGAGCGACAGCTATGTTGGCGTGGATCAGGCTCCTACGTTCAGTGTCAATGCGGCAGAGGGAATGGATGAGGATGAGAGCGAGGAAGAGGAAGAAGAGTAAATGTCATGATTTGGTTTACAATTTGTAATAATAGCTATATTTCCGAAGTTTTAGAATTGTGTTCCATATAGGATATTGTTAATTAACTACACCCTTTTTGGATAATCCCTCTTTTCTGCCTACCACACTCCACACCGCCTTCGTATCAATCTCCCTATATAATAGTAGTAAGACGGCAGATACCTACAATTTGTATATAAACCACTAACAAAATTAAGTCACTTTTGTCATATTGCGTACATATATGTACATATATATAGGATCAAACAAATTAATATTCTAATTATAGTTTACACCTATTAGCCTGCGTTCTTCTAACTCGTTAATTTTATCACCACAACTATCAAACCTATCAATATGGCCTCCCTAGGCCTTAATTATCTCTATATCTTACACATGTACTTTACTTTTTTCCCAATGTAACACTGCATAAGCAATGCCTGCAAGGTACGTGGCGCTTAACCCGATCAGGGCCATAAACCCCCCGCATTGATCACGCTCCCCAACCTCCTCCTTCTCCTCTTCTCCAACTCCCCTCTTCTCATATTTCTCTCTTTTATATCGTCAATAGCATACTCAGTTGTGTTTTAACGTATTTTTGTTTATCCTAAGACCCTGTTCATACCTTGATTTAAGCTCAATCCGAGGAGGCTCCCCCGAGCTTCCTATCTGATCTCCCATACGATCTGATATGGCCATTCGGAACATGAAGTTCACTCCCGAGTAAGTAATGTTAATATAGTTAACAATTAGACATCAAAATCTTCATTGAGCAATTTAAGAGCACTGTACTAACACCAACCCCTCTAGGGTCCTGCTCGGAGCACCCAGACGGTCCTCAGCCATCCCCAATGCGGCCGGCACCCTAGCAGTCTATACGCAGACATCCTACTCCTTCGAGTCTCATTCCAAGACCAATGAAATCCGCGTTATCGATATCAGCTCCGGCCGCTCTGCCCTTATCACCAACGACCCCGGCGTCAGTAACCCACAGTGGGTGGACGACAGCGACAAACTTGTCTGGCTAAAGACCAAGGGCAATGGCAATACAAGCTTCGTCGTCGGCGATGCCCGCCAGGCCGATGAAACATACACCGCAGGGACTGTCCCAGGCCCCGTATCGGACCTGAAGGTGGTCCTTCTGGAGCCAGGAAAGGTAGGCTTCGCCGTGACAGGCAAGGCCAACACAGACGGATCGCTGTACAATCCCCATGATGCGAAGAAGCCCCATACAACCGGTAAACTTTACACATCTCTCTTTGTTAGACACTGGGACTCGTATGTCGAGCCCCAGAAGAACACTATCTTCTATGGCTTGTTGGAACAGGCTCCTCTGTCACCGGCCCGTCGACGGGCTGGGAAGTACTCGATCTCGGGCCTCACGAACTTGATCGCGGTCTCGGGACTGGTGGGCGTTGAGTCGCCGATTCCGCCTTTCGGTGGTACTGGGGACTTTGATATTAGTCCGTCGGCTATTGTCTTTATATCGAAAGATCCTAACTTGAACCCCGCGACTCATACCTCCTGCTCGTGCTACTACGCTCCCATGTTCTCGTGGACTAGCATGAGTGAGCCCGAACCGAAGATTTGCAAGGTTACCGGTCTTCAGGGAGCGATGTCGTCTCCTGTCCTTAGCTCAGACGGTAGCTCTCTTGCCGTTCTGGCGATGCGCGAGGATGGGTATGAGTCTGATAAGAACCGTATCCTGTACGTTCCCAACCCGTGGAATGGAGATATGATCGAAATTTTCCAGTCGGACGATGGCGAAGGACTCTGGGATCTCAGTCCCTCGGCCGTGTCGTTTGCTCATGATGACAAGTCGCTGTTCCTTCACGTCGAGGAGGTTGGCCGCGGAGTTCTTTACCAGCTGCCGTTAGAAAATGTGCACACAATCAAGCCCGACTCTCTAAAGAGACTGACCAGGTCGGGATACGTGAACGATGCTGTTCCCGCAGCTGCCAAATCCCCCAAGCTGTTCGTGTCTAGCAGCAGCCTGGTCGATAACAGCCTGTGGACCATCATCGACCCGGCTCACCCAGATGATGTCCAAATGGTATCCTCAAACGGACGGGGCGGCAGTGCATTCGGCTTGTCCTCGTCCCAGGTCGATGAGATCTGGTTCAAGGGAGCCGAAGACCACCCTGTCCACGCGTGGGTCGTGAAGCCGTCCGACTTTAAACCCGGGAGCAAATACCCGCTTGCGTATTTGATCCACGGTGGACCGCAGGGCGCATGGAATGATCAGTGGAGCACGCGCTGGAACCCCGCTGTTTTCGCCGAACAGGGTTACGTCGTGATCACCCCCAACCCAACAGGCAGTACTGGCTACGGGCAGCCCTTCACCGACGGAATTCAGGGACAATGGGGCGGTCGGCCCTACGAGGACCTGGTCAGGGGATTCGACTATATCGAGCATCACCTAAATTACGTCGACATTACGCGCGCGGTTGCACTGGGCGCCTCGTACGGCGGCTACATGATGAACTGGATGCAAGGCAATCTGCTCGGGCGCAAGTTCAAGGCGTTAGTCACCCACGACGGAGTGTTTAGTATGACCTCCCAGATGGCTAGTGAAGAGCAATACTTCCCTCTGCACGACCTGAAAGGGCCGATCTGGAAGGTGCCCGAGAACTGGGCGAAGTGGGATCCGTCGCGGTTCACGGAACACTGGCAAACGCCTCATCTGATTATTCACAACGAGCTGGATTACCGTCTGACCATCGCAGAGGGTCTGGCTGCGTTTAATGTGCTCCAGATGCGTGGCATCGATAGTGCGTTCCTGACATTCCCTGACGAGAATCATTGGGTTCTGAACCCCGAAAACTCGCTCATGTGGCACCGGACCGTTTTGAACTGGATTAACAAGTACGTGGGCCTCCCGGCTGTGTCAGAGGAACCCGATCTGTCACGCGGAGTGGGCAGTCTGTCGCTGTGATAACAAGAGTCTCTTTGATTTGGCTATTTGGGCCAATGGGAGACTCAGCTTGAATATGAAACGTATATGATGAATATTTATGAACATGGTTATTGTTCTTTTCTTGGAAACAAAGGGACAAGGAGGTTCTGCGTGAAACTCGCCTTGATTGGAGAGTTCAGAACGATGTCTTTGTGTTATAAAGAAGAGGCTGTTTCTGGATGTTTCATCTCATTGTCGATGGTTCTTTGAGGGTTTCGACAATCGCATACATTTCGTATATATAAGTGTCCTTAATTTCCTCGATTTGCATTCTAATTCATACATTGCATAGTGTACTCTACTTTATATACACTTGAGTCTCATATCAACACAACTGCTACCTATACCTAGGTACCACCACCAAAATGGAAGACGATCCAACAACCCCCAACTCCCCTCACAGCATCAGCTGGCTCTCCGAACGAACCCTCTCAGTCTCCACCACCTCTACCACAACCCTAGCAGACCCTCCAAGCCCAATGAGCATTTCCTCCCAAAACCTAACACCTCTGGATCTCACTGAATCCCCCTTCCCAATCGAATACCCCAGAATCTCATTCCGCGAGAGCCCCAACTTCCACCCCCATTTCCTGCCCCTCCTACGCCACCTCTCCTCCCAGCTCTGGCCCCTCGTCAACTGCGAAACAGGCCTCCAGCACCCGGACTTCCCACCAAACATGCTGGCCTACAACCTTCTGACCTCGGAGCAGGTCGATAACCTCGCTCGCCATTTCCATCAGGTCTACCCGCCTGTCCCGGCTACATTTAATTATCCTGTTCATATTACCCCGTGGATTGGCACGGCCGTGGAGAAGACTATTGATCTCGCTACGAGGGTAAGGAGGTTGGGGCAGTTTTTTGGGTTGAGGGGGTGTGAGAAGGGTGGAGGGGAGGATGTGAATATGGGTGAGGATCATGTTGAACCTGGGGATGGGGGTGAGAATGGGAATGGGAATGGGAATGGGGAGAGTATGAGTGAGAGTGAAGCTGAGGTGTTACGCCAGATGGAGCTGGAGTGGCAGCAGGCGTTACAGAGGGCGTATGCTGAGGAATCGCATCGGTGGAATTTGAAGTGATTTTGATTTTATTTCTGAATATAAAATAGAAAATATAGAAACTAACACATGAAACATACGATATCCAGGCTATAATACTATCTTACCCCCACGAATTTCCTTTCCACGGGCTTTGCGCCGCTTTTCTTTTAGCCGTCGGGTAAAAGACTAGAGACAAGCCATAGGCTAATAGTGGGATAATGAGGAGGAGAACGGGAATAACGAGGGATAATATGGGGTACTAGACTAATAGTAGTATGGTAGAATAGCAGAGAATAGAATATTAATAGTCTTCATTCCCCATCGACCATCTAAGTTGTATACACTCAGCCGTACTAGGATCTATAACCACCAACCAACCAAAATGTCCAAACCTCTCGTCTCCCACATCTACACAGCAGACCCCTCTGCCCATGTCTTCAACAACAAACTCTACATCTACCCCAGTCACGACCGCGAAACGACAATCACCTTCAACGACAATGGCGACCAATACGACATGGCCGACTACCACGTCCTCTCCATGGACACAATCACCAGCCCCGTAACCGACCACGGTGTCGTCCTCCGCGACAAAGATATCCCCTGGGTCTCAAAGCAACTCTGGGCGCCCGATGCCGCAATAAAAAACAACAAATTCTACCTCTTCTTCCCAGCCCGTGACCAAAAGGGCATCTTCCGTATCGGCGTCGCCGTCTCCGAATCTCCAGAAGGTCCCTTCGTCCCGCAGGATGATTATATCCAGGGTACATACAGCATCGATCCTGCTGTCTTTGTTGACGAAGAAGCGGGCGGCGAGGCGTATCTCTACGTTGGCGGGATCTGGGGTGGACAGTTGCAGTGCTGGGTTGAGGGGAAGGATGATGGGGAGGGGGAGTGGGTTGATGGGGATGAAGGTGGTGTTGATGGGGATGAAGGTGGTGTTGATGGACGGAAGAAGAGACTTGCTTTCGATGAGAGTATGTCTGGACCCCAGGAGCCTGCTGGGGAGGGTGTTCGTGCGCTTTGTCCCCGTGTTGCGCTGTTGAAGGATGATATGCTTTCGCTGGCGTCGTCGGTCAAGGAGGTTGTTATTCTTGCGCCGGAGACCGGGGAGCCCTTGCTGGCGGATGATCATGAGAGGAGGTTCTTTGAGGCCGCTTGGGTGCATCGGTATAAGGGAACATATTATTTCTCTTACTCGACTGGTGATACCCATTTCTTGGCCTATGCGACGGGAGAGTCGCCTTGGGGACCTTTCACGTATCGGGGACGCATTTTGGATCCTGTGCTTGGGTGGACGACCCATCATTCGATTGTTGAGTTCCAGGGGAAGTGGTACTTGTTCTATCATGACTGTGAGCTTTCCGAAGGCGTCGATCATTTGAGGTCAGTTAAGGTTAGGGAGATTGTTTATGATGATGAAGGCGCTATTCATCTTGCCGAGGAACAGACTGCTGTGCAATAGATAGTATTTAGATTGTCTTGAAGCTTTGGTTTATTGGAGCTGTACGAGTGGATTGTAACTGTACATCTATTCTAATTGCCCATGCCCTTCTCCCGGTTCTCTTGGACCAGTTTCCAATACTTCTCGCGAGATCGTTCGCGAAAGGTCTTTCCAAACTTGATCATGAAGAGGAAGACTGAAGCGCATGCCATGCCAACAAAGGCAGCAGATATGAAGCAGTTCTGGTATCCCATGTTCTCGATCCAAGGCGTGATACTAAATGAAGTTAGCGTTTGTCTTTTGCCAGAACTTGAAGTGAGAAACCTTACCCATAGCCAATTGCAAAAGACATGGTATTCCGAACCAGAATTACACTAGCCATGGCAATGCCACTCAGTTCTCGGTAGCTGTCAATAAAGTAGTTGACGCTCAGCGTGATGCCACAGGTATTCGCGAAGGCCAGCATGCACATTCCAACGATTAGTCCAAACCAGTGGATCTCATGAGCAGCTCCAACACCCCATAAAATGAGAGAAGAGGGTACTAGCACCAAACAAGCGAGGAAGGGCCAGAGACGGTGCTCTGCCTCCATGACGCCATTGTTCCGGCGGGCGAGTTTAACAGTGAGCCAGTCGCTGAATCGGCCAGTGAAAATGGATCTATTTCTGTCAGCTTTGGTTGCAGTATCGCGCCAAGGTGAAGATCTTACCCCAGGATCACACCGGTGATGGGCGCTAGATAACTCAGACCGACCATGGAAGACCTAGGATGGGTTAGCTTGCTCCCTTCATTGCTCGGGTAATAACATAAGAAGACTAACCCAAAGTTATATGGCTCTCCACCAAGAATTATAGAAGCTGTTCCATTCATGATGTTGAAGTAAACCAGGTAGGATCCGTAAGAGAAGCTGTGTGTATGTTAGTCAACATGTATTTAAAACCTGTGAACATTGTATCCATACCCAGCATAGAAGATAACGGGCCACGACAGGTAGTAAAGACATTGCCAGAATCGCCGGAACAAAGTATTCTGCTCCTGGCTCGGTCCCCAGAGCGCCAATTTCTTCACATATGACTTCTTGGTGTAGCCCGATCTGATACTGACCCCAGTAGCAGCTTCCATGTCAACAGCCGTAGATTTCTCCTTTTCGCCGTCCGAGCTGAGTTTTGGAGATTCCGCGGGTATAACAGTGCTAGGCTCATCGGGGTACTCTCGAACGTAGTTTGTTTCCTCGCAGAAAAAGAAGAGGAAGGTAATGGCACAGCCGACGAAGATACTTGGGTAGTAGAATACCCACCGCCAGCCCTGGTACTGGGCGATAAAGCCGCAGATGACCGGCGCAAGGTAGTTACTCCCTGCTAGGAAGAATGCATAAAGACCCATATATGTTCCTCGCTCGTGGGTGAAGTACTGCTGCTGTGTGAGCGTGGTTGGGTTCTTTTCTTAGGTGGGTTTAACTTACCACGTCCGTGACGGAGATCTGAGGGAGCGCTTCCACGGGTGCTGTGAAGAATCCTAATATGATGTTTCGTGCGAGCCATTGACCTTTGGTGCTTGCGTATGGTCTGGCCGGTGTTAGTCTTGTCTCATTGCGGGCAGTATATTTCTCTTACCCCCACATCGTCATACCCTGGATTTGTTAGTTATAATGCTCAAGTAATAATATCCAACATAATGAGGATGAGGTACCAAAATTCCCATCAATGACAACATGTACGTCGGCCGCTTGCCATATTGCATAGCGAAAGGTTGCCAAAACAGCAAGCCCCAGCCAGCCAACAAGAACATATACCCGCTTCCCTCATTTAGGGTACTGATAGGCAATCCTGTTTCTTCATGGAGCGGCTTAATCACTGAGTAAACGACCGAGCAGGCAATTCCTGAGAACATCGTATAGCTAGAAGCATGAAACATCAACACCCAATCGTATGATATATGATCCCCTCAGTCTGTCGTAACCTGCACTCACATGCTCACGCAAGCAGTCGACAGGAGCTTCCGTCTCCGACTCCAATTGAGGGGGTCGTCTGGGTCATTTGACGGGGTAGGGATCAATACAATGTCACGGTCTCCGCGGTCCAAGTGCCGGGTCTCCAAGACATGATCCACGTCCACCAGGGTCACGGTGCCAGGGATGGCTGTGCTGTCGATGACTGGCGCCATGGTGAAGCACTGTTCTTTCCGATGCGATGTATGTATGTTGTTAATTCAGAGAAAAAGTAAAAAGTCAAGTATGAGAGGGTTCCCGTGTGTAGAAGGAAGAAAGAGGAAAGCAAGATTCCTGTTTAAATCAGATGGGGATGGAGGATATGAGGAAAGGGATAAAAGATAACGGAACATGAGATATTAAATGGGAAGATCGACATATCGAAGAGAGACAGCTGCAGATGACCTCGGGAAGGAAAAAAAAGGAAAAAGATAAGAACTTCACTATCATTTTCCCCGCAAACTCGAAAGGTCTTGGCGAGGCTATGATTTTTATAGTTGGGACTATATGGACTATATGGACTATATGGACTTGGATGGACTTAGATTGTCCTTTTCAGCCAATCATCACTTTCCCTACAAAACATCTCCAATTCAATTGCGGAGAAGATGGAGAACATCGGTGTTAAGTCCGATACTTATCAGACCAACAGGACTGACAGGACCGACAAGGCTGGCAATTTCTTTGATAGCCCCCATAGATTGCCTTCCTATTTGGGCCTAATGCCTTGTCCCCTTTCAGGAAAGAAACGTCTCAACTATTCCTTGGCTTCGTTTCCATAACGCCTCTGCACTTTCTTCACCCGCCGGGAAGTCGAGATGCGGTAACCTGGGTATCTGGCAATGGTCAAGAAAGGCTCCAGATTGGACTGATACCTCATATCCCACCAATCAGTACATCCCATATACACATCTACCCTCTATATCGCACGGTTATCTTACCTTCAAGCTCCGGATCGAGCAATCCGCGCAACACCGTGGCGCTGCCCTGAGCGAGAGATTTCGGCGCTTGCTGTAAAAGGACCGGTATATCTTCGCCGGCTGGAGGAAATCCTGTCAAATCAAATGGTCTTCGCCGCTATCTGCTATCTGGACATACCTTCTTTCTTACGCTGCAGCCAGGATTTGATATCATCCCATGCAACGTATGTCTGAACGTTGGTTTTGGTATCTGCATCGAATGAAAATGAGAACAAAGAACATATTCACCAATCAACTCACTTCCTGGATTTGCAGAAAAGGCAGCGATAGATCCGCTATACTTCTTCGCAATAGACTTGACGAACAAGATGATTGCCAGCATCGACTGCGAATATCCATCGAGACTGTGGTAATTTTCTCCATTCTATCCAAATCAGCATCTGCTACACCAGCAAGCATATAACATATATCTCAAACAACAACACAGTCAAACTCACCTCAAACTCCAAATCATCCCATGAAGGCGCAGGCGGCTCATTCCGCAAACTAGATGTAACCAGAACAACCCTCGACCTGGGCCCCATAACATCACAGAGCAGATTCAGCAGCAGGAAATAACACAGGTAATTCTTCTGGAAATGAGACTCGAGCCCATCCTCCGTGCGCTCCCACGGTACAGCCATGACCTCGGGAAATCCAATGAAGCCATCAATCGACATACCCAGCTTCTTGATAGTATGCGCTGCCTCGCGGAACGAAGTCAGGCTGCCGGCGTCGGCCGTCACAAAGATCATTTCAACCGTTTTGTATTTCCGGTTGATGTGGTCGATCACCGGCTGGAGTTCGGACTGTGAGCGGCCCGTGAATATTATGGTTCTTGCGCCGCCGTGGGCGAGGGCGTCCGCGGTTGTTGCGGCGAGATCGCCTCGTTTGAGGCCAGATATTAGAACTGTGGGCGGGTTGATTAGTTTGATATAGTTAACAATTGGGTTGTTGGCGTTGTGGCGGTACATGTTTTTTGCTTCACCCGGTCTGGGAACAACTTCGTCACGTCCGCCCCCTGTGTCTGGTCATTGAAGGTATTGCTCATTGTGCTGGATTCTGTTTGGTTTGTGTTGATGGGTTGAGAGATGTCTGCTTGGGTTGAATCGTGGACATGCTCGGCATTTCGTCACCATGAAGCCATCTCGGATTATATATTCGACCTCACCCATGATAAAATAACGACGGGAGCAAGTAATAGGGTGGTAAATATCGAATGGAATTATGGGTTGCAACTTATAGACACGCTGGGTAACTTCGAACAAGAGTAGATGGTGATCAGCCCTGATATCAGGAAAATGAAATTCACATTCATAATGTACAGCTAAAGAAATCGCATGCATACGGAGCCTGCCGGTCAAAGGAGAAGAACGCAGACAAAATAGGAAACATGTAAGATCGGGTAGATCTCAGTGAGATGGACCCGCGTCATCTTCGGGCATCTGGTCAATTACACCCTTCATGAGCTCGATAAGCTCATCAATGTCGGGCCGTTCCGAGGGTTCAACCGTGAGACATCTGCGAACAATATCCTTGACGGGTGCACTGATCGCAGGGGGATCGTTTTTGGATGAATCCTCGCTTTCGCCCGACTTTGCTTTACCCTTAGAAGCGCCAGACTTCTCATCGGGGAATCGCCAGTCACCACCAAGAACGCACATGCTCAAGCTTCCACCAGTCTCTTCACTGCGTGCCTCGAAGGGACTCTTGCCCACGAGACAGGCATAGAGTGTGCAGCCAAGCGACCAGATATCAACCTTGGTGTCAATGATCGACCCCGTCTTGACATCGAAGAGCTCCGGTGCGCGATATGGCATCGTGCTGTGTTCTGCTGCGGTATCCTGCACTGCCAAGGCGAGAGAGCGCGATGTAATAGCGATGGGGCTGGGCGCCAAAGAGCCTAGATCCATCAAGATGGGTGATTGGCCGTTGTCGTCGATCATGATGTTTCCTATAACGATAGTTAGCTCGTTGAGTCGGTTCGAAATTTCCGCATCTGCATCTGCATCTGCATCTGCAGCCAAAACATCAACTCACCAGGCTTGACATCTCGGTGCGCATAAGGGCGCAGGTCCCCATCCTCGACACCTTCCTGACTCCGAGTGACCTCGTCATCCATCAGGGGCTCATTCTCCTCATCCTCCTCATCCTCCGCGACGCGATGGGAAGCCCTCCGTTTCGGTTTCATCTGCATGGTCCGTTCCTCGTCTGCCTCCTCGCCTTCTCTCCGAACACCCTTCGCCTTTCGTGTAGATGCCGCCCCACTCTTCACCCGATACTGATGCATCGAGCGAAGCGCATCTGCAACACCGAGTATCAAGACCATCAACCGCTTCTCTGGGAACTTGGTATGGTTGACGAGATTGGCATTGATGGCATCCTGGAGATTACCGCGCTGGTAGTATGGGAGTAGGATATAGACCGTCTTCGAGCCTGGATCTCCGCCATCGGATCTGAATTTCGAGCCGGATTCTGTGGACACGCAGTGGTCGATTGAGTGGATGATGTTGGATTGGGAGTTGAAGATGTTGTAGGCTTCGACTTCTTTCAGGGCTTGCGATACGGATTCCTGGCCGAATGGACAGCGGATCTTCTTCAGCGCGAATAATTCGGAGCTCGTCTTATCTTGGACTAGGTAGACATAGGAAAACCCGCCCTGTTGCGTTGTCAGTTCAGACCAGCTTGCAGCTATCGTTATCGGGTATCCATACCTCGCCCAACAAACGTAGGAGCTTGAAACTCCGGTTGTTGATCTTTAGCTGTGGGGAGCTGGGAAAGCAACACATGCAATCCGTGAAATTGTACAGGAGATCGAAGAAGTATTGCGCCATGGTGTATAATGCGACGGCAGGAGGTAGAGGTGTTGGGGCCCGGTGACGTCCGGCACGGTGGTAGATGCGCAGGAGTTAGTACAGAATGGACAAGATCGTCGTAGAGATGTGTGTCTTGGAGATGCAGAGAGGTAAGGATTGTATATGCAGAAGAGGAGATGGTGGAAGTTGAAGGTGTCAATGGTTGGCATTACGTGGAGTGGAGTCCTTTTATTTGTTGTCTCCCCCCCTTTCTCATGTTATATCGTTGCCCAGGTGGATTTCTCGATCACTCTCTTTTCTCATATTCTAACTAGTTCAAATTGGAACTGGTCGGGTCTGTCTTTTTTCATTTGTTTCTCTCTCTTTTTTTCCTTCCCAATCGCCATGGTGGGAGTTGGGCCGTCAACTTAATATCCTTGCATTCTCCTAACGCTCCCTCTACACCCTTGACTTCTGAACCCTTCCAGGGACTATTGATATTCGCCCGGACATCTTATTTAAAAGCCGCATCCCACCTCTTTTTTATCTTCATATTCATACCGCCCCATATCTCTCCGCAATGGCGCACCCCGATGATGTACAGGTCGGTGACGTGGTGAATGTCCCCGGTGGCATGTATGGGACGATCAAATACTTGGGATCGGTAGCGGGGAAGGCCGGACGATTTGCAGGAGTCGAACTGAGCTCCGAACACGCGCAAAGAGGCAAAAACAGCGGCGATGTTGACGGCCGGAAGTACTTTGCAACCTCGATCCCGGGTTCTGGCATATTCGTCCCCATGAACAACAGCAAGTATGTCACAAGACGATCCTCCAATATCTCTACACCCACCACTCCTGCACGTGGGGGACCTGTCAACTTCAGCAAATCTGTCGGTGCAGCTCTTGCTACCCCCCGGCCTCGAGTCCGACGACCCTCTCTTCCTCGACCTGAATCCCCGCGCGTGCCGCCCCCTCCGAAACTAAACCTGGCCGGCTTGCGTACACCATCGGCAGCATCGAGGACCAGCGGGTTGAACAGCGCCATGCGTAGCCCCGTCAAGGCACCATCTCGGTTGTCTGATAGACCCTCGTCGCGACTTAGTGTGGATGATGATGCTTCGTCGTATGGACGGCCATCGGACTTCCGCCGACCACTCTCGTCGGAGACTCAAGACTTGAAGGATCAGATCAAGAGTCTAGAGAAGCAGCTTTTGGACCGAGATAAGCAGCTCGATGAGCAGTCTGGGACTTTGAGCGAGTTCCAGAAGACCTTGGAGGAGATGGAGGGATCGGAGGGTCATTCGGTCCGTACACAGTTACGGGAACGTAACGAGCGGATTATCCAATTAACGGCCGAATTCGACGGCCACCGCGCCGACTTCAGAAGCACCCTCGACACATTGGAGATCGCAGCCTCCGAAACAGAACGCGTCTACGAGCAGCGTCTCGACGAGCTTATACAGCAGAACAAGGAACTGCAGGACCGCGGCGAAGATGTTGAGGTTGTTGCACAGCAGCTCAAGCAGTTGGAAGAGCTGGTATCGGAGTTAGAGGAAGGCCTCGAGGACGCCCGGCGTGGAGAGGCCGAGGCTAGGGCCGAAGTCGAGTTCCTCCGCGGTGAAGTTGAGCGCACCAAGCTGGAGCTGAAGAAGGAGCGTGATCACTCCGCCGCTGCGCTGAAAGATGCACACGCCGCCGCAGACGGACCCCGAAGCAGTAGTGAATTGGACCAGAAGGATGATGAGATCCGAGGACTCAAGGCCATTATTCATTCATTGAGCCGCGGAAACCCCAGTGCGGCAGGCTTGGGACAAAACGGCTCGGCGGACCATGACCATAATCCGGAGCACGTTACTCAGCTGGAGATTCGACTGCAAGAGGTGGAAGAAACTACAAACCGCAAAGACAATAGGATCGAAGAGCTCGAGCGTCAACTTCAAGAAATGCACCTGCAGTCTGATGGTCGCCGCCGCAGCTCTACTGTCACCCTTTCACCAAAGCAACACAGGCCATCGCACTCTGCAGGCAATATTTCCAATCACTCAAACAACCCAAACCCCAACCGTCTTTCTGACCGTACAGTGGTCCCGACCGACTGGCACGATGCTCCTTCGGAGCCCCGCCATCACCGTGGCATCTCCAACTCTTCTCAATCGCGACTGGAGACCATGCATGAATCCGAGCGCTCTTCCGACGAGGACACCATGTGGTGCGAGATCTGTGAAACAGGCGGCCACGACATCCTGAACTGCACCAGCATGTTCGGCTCTGGTCAGAACACCGCTGAACAGAAGGCCCCCAAACATGATGCTGCCGACGAACTTGCCGATGAACACCCAGTTGAGAAGACCGAACCCCTCCAGACCAAGGCCTCGTCCATCCATGCCGATACTCCCCCAGCACTAAAGACAGGGCGGGATGTAGTCATGGAAGGACTGAAGGGCATCAGTGGGCTGGGCTCATCCATGGCTCCCATTGCCGGAAAGTCATCGGGAGTCATCGATGAGTCCAAGTGGTGTGCTCTCTGTGAACAAGACGGCCACGAAAGCATCGACTGCCCGTTTGATGAATAATGTTCTGGATATGCATGGGTTTGGTGCACCACACAAGATTGCAGCTCTCTGCTGCATGCATCTATGGGGTGTTTTTTCTTAGTACATGATTGTTGGGTCGGTTACCCCGGTTAATAAATGGTGTTTCCTTTTTCGGGGGCTGGAGGAAAGCAGAGGAATTGCAACACGGTGAGGGCTGTGTGCTTGTAATAAATACCATACCTTGGTCATAATAAGATATCGTTCGTTGGTGCATACAACAGCTTTCCATGTTCCGTTGTATCTCAAGTTGACCTCGACTTGAATCGCCTTTTGATATGTCGAGGGATGTATCCATATCATTCTATTCCATTTTTATTTGTATTCATATCACATCAAAGAATGTTGAATTCGTCACTCATAACCATTCATGACCGAAAACGATTACAGTTAGAGCCTCACCAAACCCACCCTCCAATGGCCCTGATCAGTATACTATTCAGGATGAGTCGGCGGCTGCACAATTTCCCCATCCGCATATTTCGATGCTGCAATCTCTCCACAAGCCTTACACTTGCGCTTTTCCTCGTCGGCCGCAAACTCCTCAACCACAGCCTTAACCTGCGTCCCTAGGTCAACACACACAAACTTCTTCTCCCAGACAATCTCCTTGCAGCTCTTGCAATACCATCTCATAGCATCGACTGCATCCTTAGCCCGCGGCTGCTCCATCACGACACCGACAGTGTCCTTGAAGCGCACGGGGCAGTGTGGGGTGTTCGGGGGCAGTAGGAAGATCGAGCCTTCATGGATGGGGATATCTTGGAAGCTAGGAGGTGTGGTTGAGTTGTCAACTGTCTTGAGGAGCATTGATCCCCGGTACTGGTAGAAGAACTCTGGAGTTGTGTTGATGTGGAAGTCGGTTCGGGCATTGGGCCCGCCCACTATCATCACTGTGTAGCCGGCTGTGGCCGGTGTTGAAGGGTGGTAGACGCAGTAATTATTGACCGGTGGTTGGAGGAGGTGGGCGTTTTCTTCGAGCCTAGATAGATTTCGTTAGCAGTTGGATTTGGGGATAGCTTGCTTGTGGGTCGCGTGATGAATCACGGTGTCATATAGTGGGGGAGGGATGGTAAGAAAGATATGTGAAGTTTTGGACTTACCATTTGGGAATGTTTAGCGCTGGTGGAAGCATTGTGGATATATCAACATCTGATCTTGTCAGAGTCTACTGCGTAGTTTTTTTGCCAATGTCGCATGAGGTCGGAACCCTTAGAAATCCAAAACGATCTAATCCCCGGAGATATCAGCTCCACCCCGGACTTAACTGTCGGTCCGGATCAACTTCCCTCCGTCAATTTTTCTTTTTCATATCTCGAATCCAACAAGCCGGACTACGGTGTTTAACGGCGAGAGTCTTGACCAACTACACAAAATGGCAACCACCTCTCAACCCCCCTTCGGTTTACATCCCATCACAATCTGGTATATCGCCTGGTCTTGTCCACCCTCACCGGCCGCACAGTCCACATCTCGCAAATTCGTTCCTCGTCGCCCACGAATCCGGGTCTTGCGCCTCATGAAATTTCTTTCCTCCGTCTCCTAGATGCAATCACCAATGGCTCTCAAATGGAGATCTCATACACAGGTACCGTGCTTGTCTACAAGCCAGGTTTGATCACCGGCAGCACGGCGGGTACTGGAGCCAGCGGCGGCATGATCACCTACGAGCTTCCGTCCAACTGTAACCGCGGTCTCAGTTACTTCCTGATCCCTCTCTGTCTTCTGGCCCCCTTCGCCAAAGCACCCATGAAGGTGCTCTTCACAGGACCAGGTGTGATCACCTCGTCGACACAGACCGGAGATATGTCCGTCGACAGCGTCCGCACTGCGATCCTTCCTCTGTACAAACAATTTGGTATCTTCAACAACATCGAGCTCCGTATCTTGAGACGATCAAACACCGGCCCCACTGGCAGGGGTGGTGGTGGTGAGGTACAGCTCGTGTTTGGCCACCAGGTCCGTCTGCCGAAGACTCTGCACTTGATGAACGCGGGCCGCATCAAGCGCATCCGTGGTGTTGTATACTCGGTTGGTGTGTCTGGCTCAAACAACGCTCGCATGATTGAGACCGCCCGTGGTATCCTTAACCCACTCAGCCCTGATACTTATATCTTCTCCGACGTTGCGTCTGCGCCTTTGGTACCAGCTCCGGATAAGACCAACCCCCAGGCGAAGAAGAAGATCGGCCTTGGGTTTGGTTTGTCCTTGGTGGCAGAGTCTTCTACTGGCTGCCTCTTCTCAGCTGATGTGGCCTCTCCGCCATCGGGTGGTCAAGCCCCTGAGGAAGTTGGAAAGCAGTGTGCATTCCAGCTCCTGGAGGCGGTTGCCAAGGGAGGTTGTGTGGCTCCTGCCGCTGCGACGACCATGTTCACTCTCATGACCATGGGCTCAGAGGATGTTGGTCGGCTGCAGGTTGGTCGAGATGTAATTGCTGATCCCAACGTGGTCCAGCTCGCTCGAGACCTGTCCAAGTTCGGTGCCCCCGGCTGGGGTATCCGAGACGCACCTGACAATGGAGATGGAGATGTGATTGTCAGCATTGTCGGCCGTGGAATTGGTAACGTCGGCAGAAAGATTGCTTAAGCTGCTGTGGACGGCTTTCGCACTTCATCCCAAGTCTACCACCACTCTGAGGTCCGTCTTTGCCAAACAATCCGGAAGCCTTGCCTCAGCAGTTCACTGTTTCCCAACAGACGGGGCCACGTGGTAGTCCATCAGATGCCGTCGGCGTCGCGGGCTTCTGGCCGTCTGTCCAGTGCGCGCCAGTGTGCTCCAAGAAGCTCAGATCAAGGCTTGACTGTCGAGCATGAACTCGACCTGTCGCTCCACCGCGACGAAGCCATGTGCGGCAAAAGACTGCTTTTTCCTGTCATCATGATACCCATACAAAACTTGCTAGAGCAAGGTGACAATCTCTTACATAGGATTCAATATCATTGTCTTCTCTTCTACTTCTACTTCTACTTCTACTTCTACTTCTACATACATGGATATTGACATAATGGTGACATACATACACAGGTATTGCCCGGGTGACCAGGTGTATCCTGAGGCCATCGATTCTTTTATTTATAAATACCCCTCTCCCCCCCGTTTTCCTTTTCTCTTCTTCATCTCCCCTCTTCCATCTTCATCTTCATCATCCTCAATCTTCCATTTCCATCCATCCATCTTCTTCTTCTTCTTCTTCTTCCCCCTTCCCTTCTCACTGTTCTTTGTTTGCACCCCCTCTTCCACTCCCGTCCAGCGACGGCTCAGTCGAGCCCTGCCATTTATTTCATTTTTCGGGTTTCTTGTTTACCATTTATCCCCCGCCTTCTGCTCACCGGTCCCGGGGCAACCTGGTGCCGACTGGGAAGTGAAGAGAGGGACTTCGTCATCATGTCTGTTTTGAAACGTCATCTGCCATTTATTCTGCCATTTACCCCAGCGACGGCTCGCACCTCATCGTGGTGCTGGGGTCTAGTAACCCTTCGGGGTGAAGCCAAGACGAGCCCTGCCATTTATTCATCTTCATCTTTCGGGTTTCTTGTTCACTATTTATCCCCCGCCTTCTGCCCACCGGTCCCGGGGCAACCTGGTGCCGACTGGGAAGTGAAGAGAGGGACTTTGTTATCATGTCTGCTTTGCAACATCTTCTGCCATTTATCTTGCCATTTATTCTGCCATTTCCCCAGCGTTGGCTCGCACCTCATCGTGGTGCTGGGGTCCAGTAATCCTTCGGGATGAAGCCAAGACGAGCCTCTTCAGTGTTTTCTTTTTTACCTTGTTGCACTTTGGTGTTTTTTTTTTTTTTTTTTCCCTCTGCAGTGTTGTCTTTTCTGTTGGATGACTTCCAGGTAGGGCTTTATGGTCGCGTGACTTTTGTTCTGGTTCTTAGACTTCGGACTTGTTCACATCAAAGGGATTGGTCTTTTTTTTTTTTGTTTTTGTTTTATCCTTACTAGGTAGTTATGGAATAATTGCAATGAAATGATTTGTTCTCGTTCTAATTCTATTGACATGTAGTAGACGCTAAGAAAATGGAAGATCAGACAAGATATGGGACGCCGAAGATGCAGAAGAGTTCCCACAGGACCAAAACAAAGAAAACAGAGTGCTTGAACGCTTTTGAGATGAAAGATCAAAAGGAAAATCAACAAGAAGATCAACATGAGAATGAAAAGACAACAATGAGATGAACAGTAGTGTGTGCAATGAAAGAAGACCGAAGAATTGACCGAAGAATGTCAAAAAGGATTGTGCAAGAAGCCAAGAAAATGCCAAAAGTAACAAGAAAGAAACCAAAAGGATCATGAGAGACAAGAATTCCTCGGTCGGAGGAGCATCTCAGTCCGAGGTATCCTCATCCTTACCAGGATACATAATATCCTGGCGATAGACCGCAAGACCATGGTTGACAAAGACAAAGAGGAACATGCAGACGATGCAGATAGTCATCGCAGAGCCAACACCTCTGATCGCCGCGCTATCAAACGCATTGCCAAGTGTAATAGTAGCAATCGTAAACCCCGTGTTAGGGAAAACCATCGCCCACCAGCTGAGATGGAAGCTCGTCGGCGGCGACCGAATGACCGCAATAGCAGCAACACAGAAGAACCAAAAGCTCAGCGCCCACAAGAACGCACCCGCCGCCAACGCCAGAATCTCGAGCATGCGTCCATCAGCAGCAGTGTCCTCACTCCCCATCACTCTGAATGTCTCAGGCAGTCCCTGCGCCATACCCACGAGAGCAAGCGCCGTGAACGCTGGCGGTCCAACGCAGATGAACATCGCCGGTCTGTGTTCCCGACACGGAAGTCCACTCTCCATCAGCCGTCCGATGTAGTGTGAGTACATCATGAACGAGATGCAGAAGCCCAGACCTTGGAAGGTCATTCCAGCGGTGACGATTGGGATTGCTGCGCGCTCGGGCTGGCTTGAGGAGATGACGGACGCGATCGTCCCGCTTAGCATGATTGGGAACGCGGGCAGGATCCACGAGGGCATCATTGTTTGGAGGCGGTAGGTGTGCGAGGTGAAGACGAAGGAGTATTGTACCACGGCGAGGGTGAAGGTGCAGACGCAGTATATCCAGAAGAGGACTTCGAGGGTTGTGGTGAAGGATGGGGCAGGGTTTTCGCCGAAGTACTTCTCCAGACCGGTTATCATTGTTGCGACAGAGAGCCAGAAGGTTGGGAAGAAGAGGCCTTCACGTTCGTGGCGGAGGGAGTTGAGGGCTCCACCGTGGATTGTGAAACGTGCTGCCATGAGAGAGCAGACGAGGGAGAAGAGGACGAGGTTGAATAGGTAGATGGCTAGGCCGATCTCGTGGCAGCCTTTGAATTTGTTCGGCTGGTTTGCTATGAGGAGGGCTAGGCCTCCTGCGCTCATGGTGAGAGTGTACCATGCCCATGTGAAATGGCGGAGGCGCTCGCGGAAGCTGAGAGGGTACTGCTTCTGGCACTTCTCTGAGTCCATGAAGGGTGTATCGGAGTGAGAGGATGCTGGTGCAGATGGAGGATAAAGCTCTTGGCTGTGGTTAGGGTAGGCCCCCAGTAGAATTGGATTGGACATTGTGTGTATAGATTTGATGCAATGAAGTATAGAGGAAGCCCTAAGGTTGGAACATGAAAAAAAGGAGTATAGAGTGAATGTATTCAAGACAGGACTCTGGACCAATGGTTCATAGAATCACTAGAAAAGCAAAGTCAAGTCAAAGGCTTGAAGAATGGAAGTATTGAAGTGATGAATGAAAGTGAACGAGAAGGAGCGAAAGGGAGATGTTAATATACCAGGATGGGCAGCAAAATACAAAACATCTAGGCATATCAATTCCCATAATTCCTTAATTCCCCAATTCATTGAAGATCAGCCAAGGAATTCCAAGACTATATACTTTTGGGTGAAAACGATCAGAAACCAAAAAGGGATTTCTATTACAAGGTAGCCAAGGCAATGAAATCCTTTGCAATAGACCTACCAGCGGCCTCAATGGGCATGTCGGACCCATATTCCATCAAACTAAAAGAAATCTATAAGAATAGATCGTTCCAGGATGTTGGGCTCGGACGATTCATCATACTCCATATGCATCAGGGGGGAGTGGCGGTTAGTGCCTCTAGGGGCAGTTCCGGAAGTACAGCGATCCACTGCGGATCTAAACATCAGGTTAGACGCATATACCAAAAAACTTCGATGCCTAGGGGGTTACGAAGTCAAGGACGTGGGACTCTGCCAAGAACATGTAGAGATCATTGGTGCATAGCGCTTTTTCCTGCGCCGCAATGGATATGACTTGGTCCTTGGAGTGAAGAGGTACAAGGCTGATTGACAATTCTATACAATATTGTGTCAGTTCAACATCAGACATTTTGAATCAAAGACAGGTTACTCAGATGATGAATCTCAAACTCGAGTTGCTTCGGGCCGACTCTGGTAATTTCCCACGCCGAACCTTCCTGATAGGTATAGGATGTATAGAAAAGTCTAAACCGGGATTTCCAATGCGCGTCCAACGTGCCTGAACGCCAAACGCCAAGAGACCATTGATCGACAGTACATCGTTGACGGACCGCTGCCAAGCTTTAGTTCGGGCTGTGAAGAAGAGGCGGGATTGGATGAATACGAGAAAATATAACTAGGTAACACCATTGCGTGTATGCACAACGTGTAGAACAAATTCAATAGAAATACATACGTATGCAACACGCAATATGAAAATCAAGGGAGAAGTTGAGAAGTCGACAAGTTCAAGTGGAGTCGGAACGTTTTGACGTACTCTTTTTTCCCCTGAACTTCTTATCTTCACAGCCCCCCCCCATCAACAACACTATTGACACTGGGATTCTCGCCAAGAAGACCATTTGGACATGGATCTTTGTCGATCGGTCGATCATCTTTCAAGGGGTCTTTGGCTTCAAAGGTTATTATTGGTGAATTGGCTTATCTTTCGCCATTTCGCCAAGATGTCCAGATGTCCAGATCCTCTTTGAGAGTAACATACAACATACAGAGTACAACATACAATATATGGCGATGAAACCCATGTCGATGTCATCAATCCACTTTGCTACAGGAGTTTAACTTTTGACTATGGAGTCAATGGAGTCGATGGAGTCCACAGGGTCTACTATCATCTGGACGGGACTGATCACCCGGAAGTCTACATACAACATACATCCCATGGATACAATATAAAATCAACAACTTCATTCAAAAAGAAAGACGAAAAAGAAAGAAAATGCCCCAGAAAGCCAAGATCATGCGAAACCAAAGCAAGATAATGCAATGCACCTCGAAAACAGAAAATGACAAATTCAAATTATGCAGACGCCAGCGGGTCCTTTCGAAACATCCCCAGGGCAGCAATGCATGAAATCATATCAAGTTTCTGCAGAAACGAGAAACACACCAAAAGTCTAGGCACATACCATCCCAGACCCAATCACATCACAACATCCACTCACATCATGCGGTAGACAAGATCAGAGGCCAGCTCTGTCGTCAAATCCAACAAAGCACGAAGACTCTTCGGAGAAGTGGAAGTGGAAATCTCAACCCGCTCCGTCTTGGCATCCACGGGCCGCAAAGAAGGCGTTGCCGAGGCCGAATCCTCTGCCGAATGATATCGTGCCAATTCCTTCACGTTGCATGCCGCATAGTGCACCACCAGTCGGCGCAGTTGGTTCTCCCGAAGCTGTGTCGCGGACGTCGGCGAGATCGGCTCCAGTCGGGTCGTCTTGGTGTATGCATAATGCACCAGCTCCAGTATCATCTGCGCCTTGGTTGCTGCCAAGCCGTCTAGAATTTGGGAGTCGCCGAGATCGGCGGTTTCAAAGTCCGTCGACGAGAGAAGGAGCAGGTCGCGATGCAACTTTCGGAGACAAAGCTGAGCGAGAGCGGGGATTAGGTACCGTGTGGCGAAGACGTAGACTTTCGCGTGGAAGGTGATGTAGGGGAGGCCGGTGCTTGGCGTCTCGATTGGGATGGGCTTGGAGGTTGCTGGCTCGTCGTATTGTAGGGAGGTGAACTCGTCCCATAGGCTGAGGCCGGGCTCGCAGGGTGAGGATGCTTGCTGTTGGGCGAAGGACATGTCGAGCATCGGTCTTTGTGGCTGTGTTTGGGTAATTCTGGTGCCTTCGCTTCTGTCTTGAGTCCAGGAATCTTCCATCGGTCCTTCCGCAGGTGCAGGCTCTTCAGCTGGCTGTTCCCAGTGCTCAGTCGGTTCTAACTCTGGTTCTGGGGCAGGGTCTTCGGGTGCCCATTCTTCAACGGGCTCTACTTCTGGCTCTGGGATAGGCTCGGCAGCAACTTCTGGCGGTGGTGTTGATGGCGGCGTAAGGCTGACAGTTTCAGCTGGTACGGGAAGTTCTTCTTCGACAAGCTCTGCTTGCTTTTTGCCTTTCTTCCCTTTCTTTCCCTTCTTTTTGTTTGCCTTGGGTTCTTCTGGCTCCCATGACACAGGTTCTTCGGTCGGAACCGCCCATTTATCGTCGGCAGGAGGCACGTCCTCGGCTGGTGGCTCTGGTGCAGTCTCTGCTTCGTGGTATGTCTCTGGCGCTGGCTCTGGCTCTGCTGCATCGACTGGAGCCTCAGGTTCTGGAACCGAATCGGCCTCAGGCTCTGGCGCAAAGGTTGGAGTAACCGGTTCCTTGACCTCGGCGGGCGCAGGCTCAGACACGGGCTGAGGCACTGGCGGCTCGGGCTCAGGCGCAGACTGATGGTACGGTCCTTGTCCCCGATGGCGAAACTGCGGAGGCGGCGACGGAGCCGGGGGTGGGACAGTCGACGACATTGAACCAGACCGGTAATTCTCTCTCCAGGTGGCGGTACTCGGCGAGCTCTCGACTACTCCAAGCCCGTGATCTTCCTGGACCTCCCGCTCGGGACGAGGCACGTTATAATCGCCGGTGTATGCATACTCGCAGAAAGCGACGAAGGTCTCAACATCGTCTTCTTCCAGAACGGCGATTCGGTGTTTTGATTCCCTCGTCGGACCGTTCATGAGATTATGGAGTGGTTTGGAGACATGCTGGGCGAGCCCCGACTGGATTGTCAGCTTCGTATGTCGTGGGCCGACGAGGAAGGTGAATGACGGTGAGTGGATGATACTGAAGATGTTGAATTAGCGGTCTGTTAACAGTGTATACCTATCTCATAGGTTGGTGAGATGCGCTCTCCATACCTGCTAAAATTGGGAACAGACTCCATGAGAGACAGTTGACCTTCTGCTTCAGAAGGGATGAGATGAAATTAATCTACGTTCTAACATGCAGGATAGTCCCATTAAATATTTTACCTCGAATTCCCCAGGCGCCGGAAGCGATCTTGGGCGAAGATAGTGGTCTGCAACGTGTGCAGCTGTGATGGGGGCTTGAACAAGTTCCCAAGACCCATTGTACTAACGCTAGACCAAATGACCTTATGAGAATATGCGAAATGGGGCCAAAGGAGATTTGATGTTGTCGTGGTATATGCTCGCCCTACACTCTCCTCTCGATATCCTATTACTTGGTACCCCCCAATGCCAATGACCACCCTCCATTCGTCCATTTGAACCATTTGAATACTATGCCGCTATCACCGAGACAAAAAAAAACAACGCAGGACAGCCATACAGAGCAGCCATACAGAACGGCCGGTGTTAACTGGATCCTGGACTGTCCAATTGTCGGGCGACGTTGGCGTCAGCAGGTTTGTGCCCAATCCCCAGCCTCGAGAGAACCCAATCTGTGGCCTCACTGGTTGATTTGTTCCTGGGAGCTCCATCGGGGCTTGGAATTTGAAGCTTCACTTAATTTTTATTTGGTTTGTCTTGGATATTTGGGATATTTTTGATGTAGCGGTCAACAGTTGAACAGCAGTACCCTTAAAAAGGTACCTAATTATACCGAGGTTGGATTAGCAATGACATTTACAAAATATATTTACGGACATCTACAAAAATAGACATTTCAAACCTTTTAGTGCTCTCCTGCTACAGGCTGGATATATTCCTTGGCCCTCTTCCCTTAGAAACAAGCTTATTCCACTGTCCTATCGAGAAAAAAAAACGCAACAAATCCGGGACTATAATTGGCACCCTTAGAATATATAACGAATCATACTTCATACATCCAATTCTCCAGATGTCCTATGTAAAAGAGTAGCGTAGTCTATCTAGATATATCCAAACAAATCCAATAGTATACAAAATAAACCATCTATCAACTAGTATGCATCAATCGAATCTCCGTATGCCCAGGCTCCCACTCCCTCAACCCTTCCCCAACACTATACCAAAACCGCAACCGAATACACTCCTTCCTCGCAGCCTCCAAATCCCCCCTCTCAAACGCCTCCCCAAGTCTCCCCACACACTCAACAACCCTCCCCTCATTCTCCTCTTTAAGCACATTGATCTGCGCCTCCGCTTCAGCAGACCCCCCAACCTCCTCAATAGTCTCCTGCACCTCCATAACCTCCATCAGCGTCTCCGCGTCAAGAGCATGCTTTGTCGACGCGTCTTCCGCCGTCACGTCGATCCCATGCCATTCCCGTAGAATGTACTGTGCCCGCTGCAGCGGGTCCAGAAGTGTCCGGTACGCTTCGTTGATCCGTGCTGACAGGCCCTCGGCGAGCTGCTTCTCTGCTCCGTTGGGGTATTTGTCTGGGTGCACGAGGCCTTGCAGTTGCAGAAACTCGCGCCGGAGATCGCTGGTTGGGATTGCGAACGCTGAGCCTGGTGGTGGGCCTGCTGGTAGCGTTTGAGGGAAGATTGCGTAGTGGTTGGTTATGTCTGGCGCGCCGGCGAGTGTTATTTTGCGTGCTTCTGTTGGAGTGGATTTTTCTGTTGAGGCATAGCGGCGCTGTGTCATGGATGTCTGGGTTATAGTAGGTCGACGTGTTGGGAGGGTTGTAAGTCCTCGCGCTGGCTGGCGATATCGGCAGAGCATGCATGCATCTTGGCTGGTGGATGATAGCGAATGGGTTGGCCGTGAGAGAGGCCGTGAGAGAGACCGTGGGGTTGCTGTGCGACAGACATTTTGTGCAATTTTCTGTGGACGGAAAGTCATGACTATGTAGTGTTTTTATGGTCAAGAGAGGGTCTAAGGAGGTGCTCTATAACTTCAAAGTTGATAAAAAAACCCTCGGCATACCTTTACGTCATCCCCGCATTTGGCACGTGACCCTGAACTACTATTTGATATATTGGACAGGAAACCTTGGAAGACTCTAGTTAAGAATATCGATTTAGATATTCGACAGATTTTACATAAGTGTTCAATGAATTACAGTCTTTTCTCTTTTCTTTGAGTTGTATGCGATTTCCAATTAGGAGGCATAAAACGCATAGCTGAAGAGCCAATGTATGAACCTGAATCATTCAATCCCCCAAAGCTTCACCGTACGATCGTGACCGCAGCTAGCAATCCACTTTGCATCGTCACTGATATCCGTGCTGAGAACGTTGCCCGAGTGGCCGCTCAGCGACTTCACGAGGGACCAGTCATCCGCACTAAAGATGTTGACACTCTTATCAAATCCACTGCTCACAAAGAATGTGCCTGATTTCTTGGGCGAGGGCGCTTCCGCTGCTTTATCGGCAGCAGCTGGTGGAGCACCATCAATATCCATCCCGCCATCCGTAGAAGGCAAGAATGACGCAGCCTCTGCACCCTTGTACCAGCGGAGATCCGATACCACACTCTTATGGGCACCAATCCCGCCCGTCTCCTTCATCTGTCGCAAGTCCCAGCATTTGACCCAGCCATCACCGGAACCAGACAGCACCCGGTGGCCATCAACGCCCCAGTCCATACCGTAGATCTCGCGAATGTGACCGTCGAGGATCATCACGTTGCGCCCCGTCCGCAGATCCCAGATACGTCCGATGCTGTCGAATCCACCACTAGCCACGAGAGAGCCATCGTTGTTGAACGCCACTGTATAGACCTCTCGCGAATGGCCTTCTTGCAGGAGCAGCTCTGTTGCTGTTTCAATATCCCATAGCCGCCATGAGCTGTCGAAGGATGCCGATGCTGCATATCGACCCGAAGGGTGGAACTCGGTACGGCATACACGCCCCGAGTGACCAGATAACGTAGCCAGCGGCTTTTCTTGATCAAGAGCCCAGAGGTTGAGATTTCCTTCGCCGCCTCCGGAGATCAAATTGACAGTTGAGGGAGAGACATTCGAGCTGGGTAGAGTGGCACCGGGGAACCATGACAAGCCGCCCACTCGATCTGTATGCGCCTTGAAACTCGCTTTTTCTTCCAGGTTGGGCACGCTGAGCAATTTGATCCCACCGCTCCAGTTTCCAGCAGCAATTGTCTGCCCATCCGGCGCGAATCGACAAATGCTAACCGGACGATCGCCAGCAATCTGAGACCCGTAAAGATCAAATCCTTGTAGCTTCTCCTTGACGGCTTTGCGATGCTTGACATGCGTCCGAAGTGTAATTGTTGATTCGTCCTTGAGCCGGGCCACTCGAGCCTTTGCGCGCGGCAAAGAATAGCGCGCAATATCTTTCCGTGCCTCGAATAAATCTTGCCCGCCATCGGTGAAGAACTCTTCTTGTTGTTCCCCTTCTTCCTCGGCTTCTTCCATTTCTACCTCGACTCCGCCTTGTTGCTCCGCCATGTCGGTCAACAGTTCACGTAGACGATCGCGTCGCTCTGATGGCCCTTCGCCGAATAGCGTGATGGGCTCCCCAAGCTCTCGTAGTCGTGCGCGTACTCGTGTGTCATCCGTTGGAACCACCATCGCTGCTGCTCTCCGTTTTCGTTCGAATTGCGATAGAATGGCGGAGGCCCGCTCGGTTGGGATACCCCCTGCGGTAGAGGGCATATCGTAGTCTTGGTCCATAGCTGTGGGCTTATTAGTAGGCTTCAAATGATAGCGGTTCGAGAACCACTCACGAAGATCGGCATAGCTGATGCCCCCCATGTCTGTGTCTTCCGTCTCCTCGACATAAGCCTGTCGCGATGGGTGCATCATCTTGGGCAACTTAGAAGCTTATGCTTCTCCAGTGGATCAAAAAGGCAGATTAATATTTAATAAAGATTCGCGCTTGAATAAAAGAAAAGAATTGGGGTATCTGAGAAAAAGGTTGGCGGGAGAGAAGATGTTGCGGGCGGCAGAATAATTGATAGACTTTGGCGGTATAGCGTTGATGAGCATACAAGCTAACGTCGGATCGAATTGTATATATTTGATTTGAATGCAACTACATATGGGAACAATCTCTGAACCTATTCTCTTGTTTTCCAAGGTTCTTCCTACACCAAGTCTAACCCCATAACTAACTAGTTACGGCTTAACAATTTTTGCCTGATAAACCAGGCATCAAAATAAAAAATCAATGACGCCAGGCGGTCGGGCGATAAGGGCGGGTACTGCCTTATCCGTTGAGATTCATTCAGCTCCTTAATTTTTGGCTTTTTGAATTCTTTCTTTATACCTCTTGTTCCTTTCCTTTTATTCCTCTCACTCCTGTATTGGAGGCTCATTCTTCACGCGGGAACTATAGATAAGCCCCCAGAGACCTGCGATGATCCCGCCAAGTATTTCGTGTAGAGCCCGCAGTTCGGCCTGCAGTAGCCTACAAGCCATCGTCCGAGATGGCGTCTACTCAATCTCCACCAATCCGAGCACATACACTCCCTCGCTGTTCAAAATTCAACATGCGCGCTTCTCATCCCACACCGCAAGAGTCAGACCAGACACCCGTCTAAGCCTGAACCTAACCCGCCAACCCTCCCGGCGGGCCTTTCACTCAACCCCAACAACCCACTTCGAAAAATCCTCCCCCTCAAAACTCTCCTACCGTGTCGCCGTCTCCTCCTCCGGCAAAGGCCGCCGCTTCCACCCCATCAAAAATGCATACAACTTCAACCCCACCGCAGACGCCCTAGGCGTCTCAAAGGACAAGAACGCCGTCAGCCGTCGCCGCAACCGTCCAGACTCCGGCGAAGACGCCTTCTTCGTAACCCGCATCGGAAACCGCATCTCAGGCCACCAAGATACAAATGCCGAAGCAGTTGCCTTCGGCGTCGCAGACGGCGTAGGCGGCTGGACAGAATCCCGCGTCGACCCGGCTGACTTCTCCCACGGCTTGTGCAACTACATGGCACACACCGCGCAGACATGGCACGAGCCTGCCGAGTGCTTGCGCTCTAAATACCTCCTGCAGGCTGGGTACGATCAGGTCGTGGCGGATTCGACGATCCGCGCAGGTGGGAGTACAGCCTCTGTTGGCGTTGCGTTGCCGGATGGACGGGTCGAATTGGCCAATTTGGGTGATTCTGGCTCGGTTTTGTTGAGGAGGGCGGCGGTTCATCATTACTCTATTCCCCAGACGCATGGTTTCAACACCCCGTTCCAGCTTAGCGTGATCCCGCCCCGTATGCGCGCCCAGGCGTCTGTCTTTGGCGGGGCCTTTTTGGAGGATTTCCCCAGTGATGCGTCGGTCACAAATGTGCAGATGCAGCATGGCGATGTGCTCATTGTTGCTACCGATGGCGTTTTTGATAATCTCAATAACCAGGATATCCTCAAGCTCGTCACGAGCCGTATGGTTATGACTGGGGCGTGGACGGCTACGGAGTCTGGCGTTGGGGTCTCGGAGAACCTGCGTGCGCTGGCTGCGCCGGGTGGATTGGCTGATGCTCTTCCTACTCCGCCGGGCTCGCCACTTTCCAAGGACCCGGCTAATACTGAGTCCGGGCCTGAGGATGGAGTCACATTGCAGTCTGTTCTCGCGGCGACGATTGCTGGCGAGGCGAAAATCGCTAGTGTCGACTATCGCCGCGATGGGCCCTTTGCTAAGGAGGCTCAGCGCTACTACCCCGGTGACTATTACCGCGGCGGGAAAGTTGATGATATCTGCGTTGTGGTTGTCATTGCTGTCGATGATAGCGTTGCTGCGGGTGAGGCATGAGTGATTTGGACAGGAAATCTGGTTCATCGATCCGGCGTCATACTGTGATTTTTTTCCGTTTGTTTTTAAGCATGATGTATACCTGCATGCATATTTAGAAGGCGCGGGGATTTTTGATTTTGCAAAGTGCCAGGCATATAAGCATTCTATGCTTCCCCGTCGATACATCGACTACATTAAATAAAGATTTTTTTAGACATAACCCCAATGACATAACCCCAATTGCATGGATATCGACTTTCTAAAGCGTCTTACCAACATTACGTTCTACTATTTACTGATTTTCTGAACAGCTATTAAGGATCCTTGTATTCAAGAGCTCAATACATGCAGTGAAGAAGACATAGCCTCTCCATTACGTACCCTTGGGGACCTTTCTGTTCATTTTCCACATCATAAACAACCTTCTCTCCGATACTCTGGGCCCGATTTGGTACACAACCGGCTCGATATCGAAGAGATCATTGGCGTGCAACCTCTAGGGAAGATCCAGAGCCAGGTAACTCCCATGCTCCATGGCAAGGACACAGGCCAATGTGCAGAAACCGACTCAAAAAAGAACAATCACATTTTCAATTGATTCAAAGAAGCCTTGCTGGTTGGTCCAGCCCCGTATCCCAGTATTGCATTGGCAGGTGACAAAAAGATAAAAAAAAGGAAACAAACCGGCGGAACCGCGTAGATTGAAACAGAGACAAAGAAGAGAACATGAATGAGAGCGCAAATGAATAAGAGTAAGAAAACAGACATCGCAGAGTCGTGATTCTTAGACCACTTAAGCAGCAGCCTCGGCGGACTTCTCCTCGGACTTCTCCTCGGTGGGCTCCTCAACTGCCTTCTCCTCAGGCTTTTCTTCCGTCTCAGGCTCAGGGGCTTTCTCATCCGCGTCGGGCATTGGGGAATCAACATCCTTAGTCGACTTGGACTCGGGCTCCTTTTCCTCTTCTGTCTCCAGCTTGGGGGTTTCAATGCCATCCTCCTCCTTGGATCCGTTAGCGGCGGGCTTCTCATCCTTGTCCGCCGGGCCGGGAGTGTCCGCGTCCAGGATGTTCTTCCAGCTAGACAAGATGTTCATGGCACGGTGACGGAAGTTGAACTCCTCGTCCCGGGGGATTGAGTTGAGCTTGACAATCATCTTAAGGACCTTGTTAATTTTGGTCGAACGAATGATCGATACCTCCAAGTCTGAATGTTTCTCCAACTTGTCAAAGTAGCTGGCCATGCTAGCCATTTCATCTTCCTTGGGGGGTTGGTCACGGGAAATGAAACCCTTCTGGAGTTTGTGACGGAGGAACAAAACTGTAAGGTATAAGCTGGCCTGATCGGTGTCGTCTGGGGAGATGGGGGTTCGCGTACTCTCTTTCTCCTTCTTCTTTCTCAGTTCCTCTGGGTCAATCGGCTTCTCGGATTCCTTAGCATCGGCACTGTCACCTTCGTCGCCGGGAGCGGGAGCTGCCTTGCCCTTCTTGGCAGGTGCTTTCTTGGTCTTGCTGGCGGGGGTCTTCTTTCCAGTGTCCTCGGCGGGAGCCTTGGGGGTGGTCAACTTCAGCTTGGTGTTGGACTTGGGAGTTTTAGCGGGCTATAATTTTGTGAGATGAGCGAGATCAACATTACAATGATCCTGTAACACGTACCTTTTCCGCCTCAGCATCGGTCTCAGCATCCTTCTTGCGCTTCTTAGAAGGAGCCTTGGACTTCTTGGAGTCATCCACATCCTCCATTTCAACATCAGTCTCAGCACCCTTGCTCTTGCGCTTGCCCTTCTTAGCCTCCTTTGCGGCCTTGGCAGCTGCCTTCTCCGCCTCCTGGGCTTCAAACTCGGCCTCTTCTTGGTCAATAGCTGCCTGGTGGTCGTTCAGGAGCTTCTTGAAGTACTGAAGGTTGTGGCCCTCGGATGCAACCTTGTAGGCATTGACGAGGGACTTGGATTTATTCTTCTCGGAGATATTTTTGCACTCGGCAGGGTCGAGGGGAGTCAGGTTGGTATTGGGAACCCAGGCGCTGTCAAAAAAAATAGTCAGTAGGAAGTTCGCGTCTGGCGTAGAGGCTGCGCGGATGGTCGACTCACAATTCATTGGTATCGAAGAACATGACGGGGAAGGTGCGCTCATGGGCGCGTCTGCCATCGTCACCGTACTCGCCTTTGTAGGATCCATCCTTTTGCATGGCGGTAACTGGACGGGTTTCAAGCAGGCTGGGAGGCAGAATGCCCTCGTCACAGATGATAGCAGGCCAGGGCGCATAACTGCGAAGGCGGGCAAGATAGGTTTGGCCTGGCTTAGCGTCCAGGTGGGTGATGCGACTCTGAGACTTCTTGCGACTCAGTTTCTGAGTGGCACCAGTGGAGGTGCGGCGATCCTTGGAGGACTTCTTCGCTGAGGCAGGGGTTCCGTTGGCCTCCGCGGGCGCAGCGGCCTCTGCATCGACAGGTGCAGCTTCGGCGGCTTCACCATCGGCCTTGGCCTCAGGAGCCTCGTCAGAGGAAGCAGGCTTATCAGCCTCAGCTTCAGCGTCCGTCTTCTTGTCGGTCGCAGCTTCAGTCTCTTGAAGAAACAGTGGGTTAGTGGTGTCGTACAGAAACAGGATGTCCCGACCGGTGGACAGCGTTGAGAAATGGAGGCGCAAAACGATTAATTGGTATCAATCAGTCCATGCTTACCGGCAGGCTTGTCTTCCGACATAGTCACATCCTCAGACTTCTTCTCGGAGTCAGTGGGTTGCTCAGTAGCGCGCTCGGGCTGATCGCCCTCGAGCGCGGAGACAGGTGTTTCATCAGCCATAATGGCAAGCTGGGATGAGATAAGTTAGAATTCACTAGGCGATTGGGTATATTGGAGCTGGGATAGGTGGTGGGAGAAGCTTCCAGGGGAGGGTAGCAGGAGATGTGGAGAAGAAAGAGAGTCGCGAAAGGCGCGGGAACTTCAAGACGCGTCTGAGAACGGAAGACCCCAATGACGCCACAACTTTCAAATCACCACACAACAAGAACAAAGCCGTCAATTGGAAATGAGGAGGATTGCTTGTTTCGCTTTTCAGACTTGAACAGCCTTGGGGTATT